TGAATGGTCAAAGAACAGCAATTGACTAAGAGGCACGGTGAAAACACGGTGAAAACAGCCACGAGAAGAAGAATTTAAATAGGCACGAGACGATGTATACGAGTCTCGTACCAATTTAAATTATTTACAGTCAACGGATTAGAAGGCATTAAAAGCAAGGATCAGATGACAGAAAGGAGTCCAAATTCATTATTAAATGTCTGATACGTTATAAAGTTGGTATTTAATATGAATGATTGTATAACGGCTTATTTAATGTCATTTATTGCTCATGATTATGTCATTAAAACTGATGCTTTATTCCTTTACCTAGAATGATTTATAAAAGGAAGAAGTATTATCATTTGCAAGGACACGATATACTATTGAGAATACACTGAAATACTTATCTATTTACCCTCTACCATTGTTCTCAAAAGTATTTTATTTTTTGTCTCCTGATTATCAGTAACTTCTTTTAGCTTTGACCAAGGACTCAGATTTTTGGTTAAACAGTAGCCAACCTTGTTGAATTAGTTTGGTTTGGTAGTCAACCTTGTTGAATTTCTTTGGTTTGGTAGCCAACTTTGTTGAATTGTGAAAAGTGTGTGTAAATTTTCAAATATTGTAGGCTTTAGAGGGTGAAGCTTTGGCTATAAAAGGAGAGCTTCAACTCTCATTTCTACACACCAACAAAGAGAGAAAGAAAGAGTGAGGTTTCACAGACAAGGTATAAGAAAATAGTCTGTGAGGAAAATAGAGAGTGAGCGATACTGTAGTGAGGTGAGAATATCAAAAGAGGGTTATTTCTTTTGAGTGTTGTAGTGGTCTTTGGAGTATTTATCTCCGACCTACAAAGTGTAAAATTCCTTACTATAGTGATATCAGTTGCTCCTTTCGGGGCCGTGGTTTTTTTCCTTATTAAAAGGGTTTTCCACGTAAAAAATCTTGATGTCGTTATTATTCCACTTTTATTACCGTGAATATTATTTTGGCAAGGGTTTATTCCCAACAAAAGGCGCGAGTCAGTTTTCAACATTCATGTGATCCTTTAATAGAAAGACAGGCGACTAGTGATGACAGTGGCAAAAGAGAGATAGAGGAATAACCAAAGACTCTCTTTTCTTGTTATTTTTTTGTACCTCACTTGCCTGTTATTTCTCCATCAAATATTGCAGAGTGGAAAATAAATCGCCATCATGAGAGCTGTTAAGCTTAATTCCACAGAGGTGTAGATTCTACCTTAACTATTTGATATAACCATCAGACATATGATCTTTGATACACCAAATGAGAAGGCCTGCGATTAATTAATGTTGAGGTAATATGTAATAATCCGAAATATTTTATAACTTATTAATTAGGAGATTGGAGAACTAATTTAATTTGTATATATTGGGGTCAAATATTAAGTTGTGGAAGAAAATTTTGTTACTATACCAGATAGGGTACTATTAAGTGGCTAGTTGCTAACTTTTGAACTATACTTATATAGTTATCTTTGGTTAATTATTAATGTAACCTAGTGACAAGAGGGGTTGCTCTGATGGTAAGCAACCCTCACTTCCAACCGAGAGGTTGTGAGTTCGAGTCTCCCCAAGAGCAAGGTGGGAAGTTCTTGGAGGGAAGGATGTCGGGGGTCTATTTGGAAACAGTCTCTCTACCCTAGGGCAGGGGTAAGATCTGCGTACACACTACCCTCCCCAGACCCCACTAAGTGGGATTATACTGGGTTGTTATTGTTGTTGTTGTAGTGATTAGAGAAAAAAAAAACAAATTAATACTAAACAAAGAGTACTGGGTTACTGATGGCGCAACAGAGAGCTATTGTGAAGATATCCTATAATTTTGTTAAATTCCAAGTATGAATACCAATTTTCCATGCATTTTATATTAACTTTGTGTAGAATGGGAAAGATGGCAAAATAACTTATGTGGACCCATAATTAGGGGGAGAAAAATTGATTTAACAATGATTGAATGGTGGTGGAGTTAGACAATATATAAGGTAATTTAAGGATGAAATAATCTGTTCATCAATTTTTTTTGCTATACAGTTTCGGTAAAATGGTTTATTTATGTAGGAAGTATAATGATAGCCATTAACAACTACTCATGTTCAATCAGCAGATGTCGGTATGTAATTCTTTCAAACTTAATCTTTACCAATTATCTGCATAATTGGCGTCAAATATATTACAACAGACCTTACCCCTACCCTAGGGTAGAGAGACTGTTTCCAAATAGACCCCTGGCATCCTTCCCTCCAAGAACTTCTCACCTTGCTCTTGGGGAGACTCGAACTTACAACCTCTCGGTTGGAAGTGGGGTTGCTTACCATCAGAGCAACCCCTCTTGTCAAATATATTAATAACTGATAAATGATAACATTCATGTTGTTCGAACCCATCGGGGTTGCCTTCTCTCTCGAACTGATAGAAAGTAAAAAAAGAGTAACAAAGATTGGTGTGAAAATTGTAAACCAACTAAATTTTGACGAAAAAGAAGAAGAAAGATAATTTGGAGAAAGAGGAAACGGGAAAAAATAGAGATAATTTAGACTCTTTTTTTTTTTTTGTAATTCTTTTTTCATCAGTTTAATTTATTTTTCAATTTTCGTGTGTTCGCGCAATTGTACTATAATCTTATTTGCCTACTCTATTCTAAAAACTTACAATGCCATAATTTTAATATCATGAGTAACTGATATATTTATATTTGCCTACTCTAATTTTATTGGGGAAAAAAATGATGTTTCTTGCCCCTTGAATCAGTAACTACTGCTGTCGACTCAACATTTCAGGCAAGGGCGCATTCCTTTTCAGGCAAGTTTCTATTATTATATACATTCTTTCTTACTTTTAAGATTTGAATTTTCTAAATATCTTTTAGCCTTCCTATCTTTACAATCTTTCTACTATTTCACCAATTGAGAAAGGACGACATGTTGATATCTTTTTCTCTTTGTCTTGCTAAAGTTCTTTTCTTTAAATCCTTTAAGACCTTAAAGGTAATCACTTCTACAAAGAGAGCTTATAATTATTTTACAATATATGACTTTGTTACCAACTTGATCTTCTTTAGAGAAACAAAAAAAAAGGGGGGAATTGTAAGATGAAAGATTGCCTATTGTGTTGCATTTTTTTTTGTTTTCTTGCTGATGCTTAATTTTTTTCTACTTTCAGGGTTTTTTTAAATGAGCTCAAAAGTGGAGAATATGAATTACTAAAGACAAGAGAAATGGATATTTGGTGATTTTCATTTGAGAAAATTCACTAGAAGATATGACTTCTCAGATTAATGGTAAATTTTAGAGTAGCAGTCCTTGAATTGGAGTCTTTACCTTCGTCCTTTTGAATAAAAATAAATAAAAGAACTTTTCAATAGCCTTTTTAACGGCTAAGATTGAGAAGGATGATAATGTTATTGATGGTTGTTACCACAAATGACTGTAGTTGTAGCGAAAACTTACCTTACTGTCAGAGGCGGATCCAGAATTGAAATTCTATCGGTTCAACCGATAAGATTTTTAGCATTAAACCTATTATATTTGTAAAGTTATGGGTTCATGTCTACTATCTATTGCAATTTTAGTGACGTTATACACATAAATTTATAATTCGTTTCGAAAGTTATGGGTCCAATTGAACCCGTAATTAAAGTGGTACATCCTCCCCAGCTTACTGTCAAAATGATTGATGGCGATGATTTACTTGGTTGTTCGAATGACTTTAATTTTAGATGCGGTATTTTGTTCCAACATATCGTGAGTCTCAATATATTGATATGATTTCCTTAATCAAGATTCCAGCAGCCATAAGTCAAGTTGTTATTACCTTTAATATCTTATTCGTTCTGTGTCTCTTCTAGGCACATGATATTTAAGCAGGGGTTTAATCTGTTGTTCCCAATGGAGGATATTGAAGTAATGGGCATTTGAAATGGCAGGCTCAAACAAACTACAGAAGTTATTTTCTCTTTCAAGCCTCATGACTTTAAAGGATTCTCCTTCCGTTTCTTGAAGCATTTGTAGGGTGATGATATGCATCTTTTATGAGTTTGAAATAGATTTTTACTTTTTCCTTTTGCAGGGAGAAAATAAGGTATAGAAACAAAGGGAAATCCTTTTTGCTGCAAGATTTATTCAACAAGATGATGGTTAGCTCTCTGCCTAGCAACAACATTTGTTGGTCATCCTGCCCTTGAAGATATATTGGAATTTCAATCATTTTAATCACACCTTTCATTTTTCATTCTTAATCACTCCTCTTTTTAATCATTAAGACAAGAGGGGTTGCTCTGATGGTAAGCAATCCCCACTTCCAACCGAGAGGTTGTGAGTTCGGGTCTCACCAAGAGCAAGGTGGGAAGTTCTTGGAGGAAAGGATGCCGGGGGTCTATTTGGAAAAAGTCTCTCTACCCTAGGGTAGGGGTAAGGTCTGCGTACACACTACCCTCCCCAAACCCCACTAAGTAAGATTATACTGGGTTGTTGTTGTTGTTCATCTTTTTAATCATTGTTGCAGTAGCAAATCAGACTCACTCTATTTTTTCTTCTTTAAACTGTGTACTAGTTACTAATAATTCTTACTACTGTATTTAATAATGGAATTTAGGAGATATAATGTCCAATAATTTAAGGTAATAATTGGATAATAATTATTCATGGGGTAACCATATCATAATGGTTAGATTTAAATACCTTGGTGTAAGGCACAATGACACTGTTTCGGCTATTTGGTTGATATTTGACTGTGTAATAGTTTTTGTTAATTGGACAGAGGGTTGATCTTGAATTTTACTTGTCCTAAGATTATGAATTTTTTTACATAAACTAATTAGGACGTGTTATTCAATATTTTAGATAGATTGAGATCATTGGAGACTATTTGATTGGTTTTCTAGACGTTGCAAGGTTGGGGAACTTCCCGTTAGCGAGGTAAGTGAGACTTTAAGCTTGGATACTTGCTTTTCTAAAACCCGTTTTGGAAATGTGTTTTCTCTGTCTGGTCCATATGTTGGGACAAGCGTGCACTCGGCAGATTCGGTGGTCTTAGACTAGTAGCAAATATATTATTTTATTTAATAAAAATTATTTTATAAGTTGTTTGATAGTGTGATACGGTTGTGCGCCATGATGTTGAGTTTGATACGGTTGTGCGCCATGAGGTTGAGTTTTATAGTTTGATACGACTGTGCGTCAGGATATTGAGTTTGATATGGCTGTGTGCCATGATATTGAGTTTGGTACGGCTGTGCGCCATGATGTTGAATTTGGTATGGTTGTGCGCCATGATGTTGAGTTTGATACGGTTGTGCGCCATGATGTTGGGGCATTGTGTATGCCTTTGTACATCACCCGAGCATTGTGTATGCTCTGTTACATATTTGAGGTACTGTGGTGCCGTTGTGGACTCGTGGTGTGTTGGTAAATTTCTTTCTAAGACCTTAGTGGGTATCCTTGTTGGTTAATTCTTAATAACTCTGTTGATACACATATATTGAGTTATTGTATAATTATCATATTTACTATATTATTCGTATTGTAGTGTGTTTGTATTTTCTAACACTTGTTCCAGAGGTATTTAAAGTGGCAGGTCGAGGATCTTATTGAGTTATATTTATGTATAACTCACTCCTTACCTGTATCTCTATGCAGATACCGTTGCGGGAGATAGAGCTAGTGGTTGACGAGTTTGTTCGAGTGGATCCTATTGCTGAGGTGAGCCATCGCATTGTTCGTGGAGGATTTTGTTTCAGACTTACTTAGTTCGTGTTAGTTATTTTCTTTTCTTTGGGGTTTGCATACCCGTCAATAAAACTTATATTACTCTGTTAGATGCTCCATGATTTTAGTGTGGGATTTGGGCTAGAGATTTATCATTTGAGTGATTGTTGATTTTTCTATCAATTGACTAAGGTATTGGGCGATAATCATTACCTCTTTAATTATTAATAATACTTTAGGCAGGCACTTTTTTTTTCTCAATGTTTGTGTAAATGGCTAAACATTAGAGAAAGAGGTTCGCCTGGTAGGTGGTGTTAGCTAAGTGCCAATCACGTCTAGAGGGTAATTTGGGACGTGACACCAGTTCTTTTAGCTTATTCTTTAAATACACTGACATAGTTATAAGTTAATCCATTGTAGCTTATTCTTTCCGTTTGACAAGGAAAATGTGTTAACATAGTTATAAATTGTAAAGATGTGGATACAGGGCTCCAGAGGGAAGACTATCAAATACTATATAAGGATATCACAACTCATTCCCCTCACCCAATGTGGCACTGAACACTCGCTGGAACGCATACATGGTTATAATCTCACTCTTCATCTTACTTTAAGATTTTTAACAACTAAAAGCCGTGGGGTCGCTAAATAAAAGAAATTAAAAAGGAAGAAAACTGTGATTAGAGGAAATAAGAGGCAATTGTAGGCGGCAACAACAAATTGGTTTACAAATTGTAAAACCAATTTCCTAGTTGATTTCTGGTTGTGACCAGTATATGCAAATTGCAGATTTGCAGGTTGAAGAAACCAATCTTCTAATTGGTTGGAGAATGCGGTAACTTTTCCTATAAATTGAAGTGTTTCGTTCAATTTCAAACACAACAAAAATCAGAGTGAACGTAATAGAGCGTAAAGAGAGTAATCCACAGATTGTAGTCTGTGAGATAAATAGAGAGTGTGAGTAATATCATAGTATGGTGTTTAAAATAAAGAGTGTTATTTCTTTTGAAGTTGTAGTAGCCTCTTGACACTACTAAGTTTTAATATTATAATGGTATTATATTGTTCCGTTCGGATATTGTATTTTACCCCGTTAAAAGATTTGATGTCTTTGTCACTCTTTTGTGTTATTGTTATTTTCGTGGATATTATTCCTGAGCGGGATATTATTTTTCCAACAACGTGGTATTAGAGCCATGACGAATAATAGTCCGTTGTCCTTTCTGTCCCCGTCTCACAAAAGATAATTATGAGAAATTGTGTCTATGTATAAAAGTCATTCTTCGCTCCCAAGATGTATGAGAAATTGTAGATAGAGGGTATGCAAAACCCGATAATGAGGAAGCTTTGCCTCAAAATGAAAAAGATGTCTTGGCAAAGACAAGGAAGAAGGATGAACAGGCCATCACGCTCATCCACCAATGTTTGGATGATGCCATGCTTGAGAAGGTGGCAGATGCTACCACCTCAAAGGAAGCTTGGGAGATTTTACAAAATTCTCTTTAAGGAGTTGACAAGGTGAGGAAGTTAAAACTTCAGACTCTAAGGGCTGATTTTGAAGTTTGAAAAATGAAAGAATCCAAATGCATTTTGGATTATTGTTCAAAAGTGAAGGTTGTTGTAAATCAATTAAGAAGATACAGGGAGGACATAGAAGATGTTTGTGTGGTAGAAAAGATCCTTCGCACCTTAACACCTAAATTTTATTTTGTGGTGTGTGCTATTGAGGAGTCTAAAGATTTAGACTCTATGATGGTAGAGCAATTGGAGGGTTCTTTACAGGTCCACGGAGAAAAGATCAAAATTAGACAAGAAGTGCCACCGGAGCAACTTCTTAAAACTTAGGCATCCTTTAAGGATTATGGAGGTGAAAAAAGCTATCGAAGGAATAGATGGGGACGAGGCCGTGGCAGTCATGGAAGAAGAAGAAGTAATGGTAACAACTTCAACAATGAAGTTAAAATCCACCATGCATTCAGAGGCCGTGGTCGTGAACAAAGAGGCGGAAGAGGATGCGACTATTATCAAGAAAATAATGGACAAAGGTATGACAAATCAAAAATTGAGTGTTATAATTATCATAAATTTGGTCATTACTCTTGGAAATGTCATAGCAATATTGAAGAGAAAGTTAACCTTGTTGACGACAAGAAAGAAGAAGAGTCAACATTATTGCTGACACTCAAAGAAGAAGACTGGTATGATTGTAGCTCGTGGTATTTGGATAATAGAACAAGAAATCATATGTGTGGATGCAAAGAGAAGTTTGTGGAGATCAATAAAATGATGAGAGGTAATGTGTCCTTTGGAGATACCTCAAAGATTTGAATCGAAAGGATAGGTACGATTCTGATCTCCTATAAAGATGGTAGTCACAAGCTAATTCAAGATGTTTATTATGTGCCAAAATTAAAAAGTAATATTTTGAGTTTGGGACAACTTCATGAGGAATATGACATCCACATAAAAAATATGCATCTTTGGCTTAGAGATTCAAGTGGAACTCTAATTGCTAAAGTGCATATGGTAAAGAATAGATTATTTTTGCTGAATCTCAAGACAATTGATGCAAAGTGTTTGAAGGCTAATGTGCAAGATGAATCATGGTGTTGACACATGCGATTTGGGAACTTGAATTTTGAAGCGCTTAAATCAATGGGAGAAAAGAATATAGTACATGAGATACCATCAATCAACCATCCAAATCAATTGTGTGAAGTTTGTCTTCTTCGAAAACAAGCAAGGAGGAGTTTTCCAAAGGACGCCATGTCAAGATCAACCAAGCCGCTCCAGCTTGTTCACACTGACGTGTGTGGACCAATCAATCCACCTTCCTTTGGTAAAAGTAAGTACTTTCTTCTCTTCATTGATGACTTTAGTAGAAAGACTTGGGTTTATTTCTTGAACCAAAATCTGAAGCTTTTGCTGCTTTTAAAAATTTCAAAGTACTTGTGAAGAAAGACAATGGCTATAAATTAAATTTTTAAGGTCCGATAGAGGAGGCGAATTCACTTCAAAAGAATTTAGTAAATTTTGTCAGTCTCATGGAATTCGTCGTCCTCTAATGGTATCTTATTCACCCCAACAAAATGGAGTGGCAGGGAGAAATAATCGAATGATTCTTAATATGGCTAGATGTATGTTGAAAGCTAAAAGCATGCCCAAGGAATTTTGGGCCGAAGTTGTTTCTTGTGCAATTTATTTTGAACAACAGGTCTCCAACAAGAAATGTTAGAGATCAAAACCCTCAAGAAGCATGGAGTGGAAGAAAGCCAATTGTTAAGCATTTGAGAATCTTTGGGAGCATAGCTTATGCTCATGTGCCACAACAAGGGAGAGCGAAGCTTGACGATCGAAGTGTCAAACATGTGTTTGTTGGCTATGATACGAGTTCAAAAGGATACAAGTTATACAACCCAAGCAGTGGCAAGGTGGTAGTGAGTCGTGATGTTGAATTTGATGAACAATTAGCATGGAATTGGGAAGCTTAGGAAGAAATTTCATATGATTTTCTTCCAAACTTTAGTGATGAAGAAGAACCAGAGACCGTGGAACCTGTGCATGACACAACTCCACCTCCTTCTCCAACCAATGTTGCATCTCCTTCTTCTCAAGAAAGTTCAAATGAACAACAACAAAGGACGAGGAGTATTCAAGAGCTCTATGATAGCACAGAAGAAGTTACTAATTTTTGATTTTTTGTATTGTCTCTTTGCCGACAGTGAACCAATAAACTTTGATGAAGCTGTTACAGACAAAAGGTGTAGACATGCCATAGAGGAGGAGATCGAGTCAACGGAGAAGAATAACACTTGGGAGTTAACAACTCTTCCCAATGGTGATCGAGCAATTGAAGTAGAATTGATATACAAGATAAAAAAGAATGTTGATGGAGAAGTGGAGAGCTATAAAGCATGACTTGTGGCTAAAGGCTACAAGCAAAGGTAATGTGTTGCCAAGAAGAAAGTAGAGCTCAAATATATGAAATCTCAGGATCAAGTTGCGGATATCTTTATAAAGCCTCTTAAGTTTGAAGATTTTCAGAGGCTGAGATCAAGTTTTGGAATGAAAAAGAAAAATTAAACTTAAAGGAGAGATTTTTGGGGTCACTAAATAAAAGAAATTAAAAAGGAAGAAAACTGTGATTAGAGGAAATAAGAGGCAATTGTAGGCGGCAACAACAAATTGGTTTACAAATTGTAAAACCAATTTCCTAGTTGATTTCTGGTTGTGACCAGGATGTGCAAATTGCAGATTTGCTAGTTGAAGAAACCAATCTTCTAATTGGTTGGAGAATGCAGCAACTTTTCCTATAAATTGAAGTGTTTCGTTCAGTTTCAAACACACCAAAAAGAGTGAACGCAATAGAGCGTAGAGAGAGTAATCCATAGATTGTAGTCTGTGAGATAAATAGAGAGTGTGAGTAATATCGTAGTGTGTTGTTTAAAATAAAGAATATTATTTCTTTTAAAGTTGTAGTAATTAAGTTATAATATTATAGTGGTATTATATTACTCCGCTCGGGTATTGTATTTTACCCCGTTAAAAAATTTGATGTTTTTATTACTCTCTTGTGTTATTGTTATTTGCCGTGAATATTATTCTTGGGCGGGATATTATTTTCCCAACAAAATCATCAGCACTATTCTTGGGTAATTTTATGTATTATTATAGGATATCAGCTTAGCAAAAAAAAAAAAAAAAAATCCTGCTGGGGAAA